GCTCTGGATACAGCCCAGGATACGGTTGGCTTTCTGGGCTGCCAGCACACACTGCCGGCTCATGTTCAGCTTTTCATCCACGAGAACCCCCAAGTCCTTCTCCTCAGGGCTGCTCTCTATCCACTCTCCACCCAGCCTGTCCCTGTACTTGGGATTGCCCCGACCCATGTGCAGGACCTTGTACTTGACCTTGGCAATATCACAGCATGTAACACACTTGGCTCTCCTTCCTTGCCTGCAGGGAAGACCAGCCCTCACTCTCCAGCCTGTGCTGTCTTGCAGGCTGCTTGGTGGCATTTCAGTGTGGCTTGGTTGCCTGGGCCGCTGTTGTCCTCCTCGCCCCCGCTGGCAGCCCATAAAATCAGCTGCCCTTTCACAAGACAGTGCTGTGTCTGTCTGGGTGAGGGCAGCTGGGGGGGTGTAGGACAAAAAGGCTTTGTGTGAAGGAAGGGATGGAGCTGAACTGACTCTTTCTGTGTGGCAGGAGAGGCTGAGCCCCCTAGCATCCCATCAGGCTCCTCATGGGAAGAGGTCTTGCTTCCCTCTGCTCTGCTTTGGGCTTTTCCATGCCAGCTCTGCCTGGACATGGAGTTTGTGCAATGTTCTGCATGTGTATTAACTTATTCCCTTGTCCGCTGGATGGGAAAGATGCTCTGTGCACAGCAGCCTTCTGAAGCCAGGGCCCACCATGGTTTGGTCTCAGTGTGGAGGACATGGACACAACTTGCACATCCCACATATTGGTGATGCACAAGACTTTCTAAACACCTTTCTCTGGGACTGAAGGGATCCAACTCAACTCGAGGGTTGTATCCAGCTGTAGAGGGTCAAAGTTGGCTCTGCTGAGCATCTGTGTCTCAGAGCTTGTTCATGAACAGCTTTGGTTATTAGACTTTGTCAGGTGTAGACTTGTTGATGCTTTTTTTTGGGGAGAAGGGAGGTGTTTTCTGAACAGGTGACCCACCTCTTTTCCATCTGCTTTTCCGGCTTTCAGCCCTTGGTGTTCAGGCATGTAGCATCAACACTTGCTTAGGAAGACATGAGGTCATCCAGCAAGGCTGAACTGTTGTTGCCTTGCTCCCAAGAACATGGAGTCTTCCGAAGACAGGTTTCTGCACCTCCTGGTCTTCACTACATGATGCCATGCTCAGCTCTGTCAGCATGGAGTGAATTCAAGCGCTTCCCAACCAGCCAGCTCTGCAGTTTGAGCAGGAACTCCTTCTGGCATGGGCTGGCAGTGGGAATGGGTACTGGAAGCAGGTCCCACGTGCAAACTTGACTAGAGGTGGGGATGGTCCTTCTTTCGCTGTTTCTGCACCAGACGAAGGGAGCTTTGCCAGCAGTTTCGGCCCCAGATAGAGTCTGTGCTGAGCAACAGCAGTCTCCTTGATGCCGCTCTCTGCTAGGATCATCTGATCAGGCCTGTCTAGCTGCCCTGACCACAAAATTGCCATAAAAACCGAATTTGAGCTCACATGTGCCCTGGTTACTGCTGAAGTTTCCAGAGGGCTATTTCTCTAAAGGACTTCTCTAGGTTCTTTCCTTTCAGTTGTCTGTTTTAGCAGAAGTGGCTGCATTTCATGGGGAGAACTGCTTTCTGCTGGCCAGCCAGTGCAAAGTGACATTTCTAGTTGTTGGACCTAATTGTACCTGAATTCATACCAGCTCTCTGAGGGAGAGAGCCCAGCAAAAGATCCCAGAATCTTCTGCAGGAAAGCAAACGTGGTATGTCTGGGTGTCAGGGATCATGAGCTGTATCTCACCACTTTGCTGTCTGCAAGAGGGCTGGGAAACACCATCAGTTTCTCCAATTTAATGAAATGAACTGTTCATTGGGGTCCAAAATGTCCATGAAGTTGAAATCAACTGCTCTGCTTGCATGGTGATTGCACAGTATGTGTATTAAACCACGCTAAGTCTTTACAGCATCCTCTCTGTATTAAAATCAGCAGATCTTTCCTTAGGCAATCACATTTTATACTTATTTTGAAAAAACAAACAGACTGATACTCCCAGCTTTTGGCAAGTGTTGTTTTGAGGAATGCCTGACCCAGAAATGGAGTCTGCCAGTCCCGGGGATGCTGTCTGCAGGGAGGGGGTGGTGTGTACACACCTCTTATCTCTCAGGGCCGTGGCCATGGTTCATTTTGGAGAGTTTCAGCTGTAACTGCATGATAAAATGCCTTAAGCTTCGCTGTGAGAGCAGAGTGGGTGGAGAGTGGAAATAAAAGGCATTAGCTATTGAAAACAAATGTTTGCTTTCTCGGAAAGGCTGTTGCTTCTGATCTGTGCAGAGAAATAAGAGCTAACTTTTCCAGGCAAACCATGTGCATGTGAAAAGTAACTGTAGGGAACTCACTGGGGTAGTGGGAATGAGCTTTGGCAGAGGTAGGATCTCATTCCCATATATTTACATGGTACTAGTACAGATCCCTCATGTGTCCATCTCTTCCTTCCTGACCAGGACCTGCCCTCATCCTTTCTGCTCCTCCATGTGGTCCCAAAGCCTGAGGTTGCTTTGAGAAAAAAAAAAAAAAAGAGAACAACAGAAAAAACCCAGAAAATCTCTGCAGTGCTATCCCTCTTCCTAATTTTTTTTTTTTTTCTTTTGGGCAGAGGGGAAAAGGGGAGGCTGAAGGGCTTTGGTGGAACAGCTCATGAATAACCCTTCCTGGGTCAGGCTGTTTTGCTTCAACTTCCTCCTGCATCTGGCATTACAGCCTTTCCTGGAACGGGCTCAGCTTTATTCTTTCCAGCAGGGTGTCCTCCCTCCCTCCCTGCTTTCCCCTGGCCTCCAGCCCTGCTCTGGATGCCAGATCTTTGCGGAGGGAGCAGCTGTCTGAATCCACTGGTCAGGCTTTGGCTTCGGTGGTTGTTTGCCGGATGTCTTCGTGATGCGGCATGGTGAAGCCAGACAGCTAATTGCTCGAGTGTATTGGAGGGAGGGAAGATGTACCATCAGCCTGAGCTGGGAAGGGGGTCCCAAAGTGCATTGTTTTAGTGCATCCACTTCAGAATGAGACTGGCTGCTTACTGCTGAAC